CAATAATAATATTTTGTGACCCCTGTAATGATTGCTGGGTACTGAAATACTCATTAAAAAAATGTGGCTCTAATATACTAGTAAACTTAAGAATCTTAGCTACTGATTGCAATATATTACTGAAGATCAATTACTCAACATCAATAATGAATGTTTTAACATAAATTCCAACATCTTTAGAAAATGTATTAATCAATCAATTATTTGATGTTTCTGTTGATAACAAATAAGAAAAACATTCGTGCCCTACTCGCTATCAGCTACTTTTGAAATACAATTTGTCAAAGATAAATTGTCGGAAAATGAATAACTTCTTGTCATGCAATATCTTTTTCAAAGATATCCAGCTTGCTAAAAGCAGACTCGCTTTATATCAGATCATATATCAATTTTCCATTTCCTTGTAACTCTGCGCTGAGCGCATTTGAATATATTATATTCTTTCTTTTAGAAAAGCCACAACCAGCATATTGTGCTTGTTTGAACTCAAAGTGATTTCTGGCTCCCTGCGTATTTAAATTTTGCAAATTAAGCCATAAACGTTCAATAACTTGACCTTTACTTAGCCAAGGAACATTGTTATGTTGCAGTAAGTCAGAATACGCTGAAAGGTCGGTGCTGAAGAGCAGAATGAGATCTCATAAAATTATTCAACTTGACCAAGCTGTTCATCACTTCTTTCAGTGTAGCACTAAGTTTACCACAAAGAGCTACCTAGTGAATTATGCACTGATACTTGATTCTCTTTACTACACCTTTTTCTTTGCCAATCATTGCTGGGGTTGATAAAAAATATTTCCGTAAAAATGGTATGTAGTTCAACCTATGGATGTTTCGTGTGCGTAATCAAGATTTAAAATTATTACTAATTCGCAAAAATATACACGCACACACAGGCTAGATAGGAAACTGATCAAACCATATTAGTTGTAGGTACTTGTAAAACAAGTTAACTAAGTAACTTAAAATAAAATAAGTACTAAGTTAAATTCTATGTGGCTAAAAAATATTTCAATAATTGAAGGTGAAATATATCTATTCTACGTGTTGATTTATACTTGGTATACAACACAATATTCGGCGGTCCGAGCTTCGACCTTTCGCGGTCCGCAAACGGACCGCGGTCCGCCTGTTGTCAACCATTGGTCTTCATGAACACACATACTGGATGTTTTTTGAAAATTCAGTTCAGTTAAGGTTCATATTTCCGGTTTTAACCTCTCTTCTCAGTAATGGCAACCAGGTATGATCCATTTCCACAGAACTATTCGAAATAATATTTCGAATAGTATTTCCACAGAACCACTAAAGTGGAGGATTTCAATTTTGTTCTGCCAGCTCAACGGTAAACCATCAGAATGAAATAAAAAGTTTGCGTCTCGGGACGCCCAGCAGAAGTGATAACTTAAACTACTCTAAGTTGAACTATTTAATATTGAAATTGTTTTACTTGAGAAAAGCTTATGTTATTACTTAAAATGTTATGTATAATAATATGATAATGTAAGGAAAGGTTATTTATTAATAAAAATTTTTGTTGATTATTTTATGCTTGTACATTGTACATATGTAGAAAAGGGAATCCAGACATACTGATGCGTTACGTTACAAAGCGGTTTACCCTCCCATAAGAAGTCATCACTTCAAAAAACAGCACTTAGAAAATCGGCGATAGGGGGCAATAGGAGCCTAAAATGAAACTAAAGTTATGACGTAGTCTGATCCAAGTAATATTTTTTCTGTTGTTGGGTTCTGCTAGCTTAACGTTAAGCTATCAGACCCAACGATCTCTCGGTTAAATGAAGTATAAAATAAATATAAAATTGGTTCCGCTAGCTTAACAGGGGTGACATAAATTTCAATTCAATGATGTAAAAGGTAAATATTATTACGTTTTCCCCGTGTGTTCGAGAATAATTGACTACACTGTACAGTCAAACTCAATTTTATTTCACTACTACACTGCCAATACAACACAAAAACTATAACTGAAATTCAGACTAATACTCGAATGTCACTCGCCATATTAGCTCACTTCGTATCGCTCACTCAACTACAGTAGCCCCATCTGCCTATCAGTAGTGCTTATATAGGGTCGTTCATTAAACCCTTCCTATTTTTAAATTTAAATAAAAAAAAAATGTGTATGAGAAATTCTCGAAAATTTTATTCGTTCAAAAGATCTATTGATGCCAGTATGTATGGAATATACCATCGTTCAAATGTCCGCCACGGCTTCACTGGGTGGAGCGCATCCGAAACGTCCAATTTTTCATGACTCTAGCGCATAAATCAGGCTGAATTTGACCGATAGCATGGCATATGTTGGCTAGTAAACAACAATGGGACTTATGATGTACTGTTTGGAACCTTTGGTGTAGTAATGAATATTACTGGAGTTTTTTCCCAACACCAAATCGTTATTTTTAACACCAAGACACGTGTTTCGATCACCAAGTGATCATCTTCAAGAGGAGGTGTTGAAAATAACATAGCTTATAAGGAGTAGTATTAGTCATCATCTGATGTTAGCGAAACGTGCGTCGAGAGACAGCATTTTTGTTCTGGTGAGGGGGAAGTATTTTCAATGGATTCATTACACGCCGTAGGTTCAAAATTTTGCTTATTATGCAGTGTGATGTTAGCAATTTTTATTTGTTGTGTTCATGTTTTATATTTCTAAGTATCTTCTGTAATTTTACTTTGTAGACTTTGTCAATAAGAAAATATACTTAAAAGTAAATAAAATAAAGTATATTTTGAATGATTGATATATCTCAATCTAGTAGGTTTACAAAGTCGATTTTTATTTTCAGATTTGAAAAACTAGAATTGATTATTTATTCCACAAAAGCCAATCACGAAGCATAATGTATTGAATTACCGACCCATCTCGGCTGCTGCAATGCTGATTCTAAATGCACATATAATCGCGTTCGATCGCTGCTAATCATAAAGTGCTGTAGGGCGAAGTGCGGCCTAAGACGCGCTATTTATAGGCACGCACTGCCGACCCCCCGGCCGGTACCGCCGCAACCGATATGTCCCTGCATTTCAAATCTGGAATAATTCCGAAAATATTCATTACAATTACTTACTGTAAAGGGCCATATTGATCTATATTGAAGGCACAATGTATTTAAGGTAGGTAATTGGATGAGGATTGATGCTAAATTGCTTAAAATCGCTTCGTAATCATAAATGCACAAGAATTAAACAAATATGTTACTTGTAATTGTAGAAAAATCTTGAGAAAAACAAATACAATTATTCAAAAAAATTAAATTGCCCCTCAAAATCTAAATTGAAACTTGAATGACAGATCTTATTTCTTTTTGACAAAAGAGTTAACAAAAACATTTACCTTAAACTGTAATGTAATGCGACTATTACAGTCAACATTCAACATACCATATAACTAGAAAACTTCGGAATGCAAAGAATAAACAATACACTATTAACTGCAGAAATGAAAACTTTCCCAATACAGGAACCCTCATAATATAAAATACAATCGTGATATTGAAATATCAAATACAGAGGGCATTCCAAAGTACTACTACTAACTGAAATTACAGTTATTCAGCTAATTAGAAATACCAACTTCTTGAACGAATGTGAAAATATAAACAAGAAATAAAAATCCAAATAATAACATACCTATTCAAACATTATCGAGATCATTTGCACGACAGAATACTGACAGTCTGTGTGGAAACAGGGGAGATATATGGAGAGTTCACTGATTCTTCTCGAGATATAAATAATGCACTTGTTTCACCAGTTTTTGTTTTGAATTCAAAATTCAAGAAGCTAACTCACATTTCAACACGCTCTTCAGCACCACTTTGACACTTGTCGATTGACTAACATCTACTGACAGCGACAGCTGACAATCTACTTGATGAGCTAATGTGCAATATGCGCATGATCAAATCTTTTTCATTATTAGATAGTAGGCACATATCTATTTTCGAGAAGAAGTTTCATGTTCTTCAAATATCAGTTGTTCGTATATTTATTATGTTTGTTTAGTGAATTGTAAATGCCACTTCTTCATAGTGAGTAGAAAATTCAAACTACATCGTTCAGTCAGCCAATGTATAGGCAACATTTTGATATAATTTCAACGTCAAACTCAAGGAAACCATTGTTTGCCATAAAATTTCAATATTGCTTAATTTTTGTATTATTTGTTTAGACTAATGTGAAAGTCAGCTCTTCAAATATCGTTCAATGTGTCAATATAATAAATATGTGATAGGAAAAGAACAGTTTTCCAGAAAATCCTTAAATAACAAAAATGTTTCAAATTGAAATTCACTTATGTAAACCAGTTAACAAATATAAAATGCGATGATTTAGTCTTGAGTTCATCAAATACTGCCAAGTATGCATAGCAAATATCTAACCTGTTTATTTGTTATCCCTTAGTTTAGCGTTGACGTTGGCGACACCTTGCGTTAGTGGTCATGGTCAACTCAAATAGTTGATAAACGACATACCTTTTCTCTCTCTCTCTTAGTTTTCTTGGCTATTGCTTACGCATTAGCGCATTTAGCCAATCAAAAGAGTATTTCATTGAATAAATGTATATCATTCTATACCCTTGTTGTGAATAATTCAACTGTTGAGAGGAATAATTTGTTGAAGACAATTCGATTATTGTAAGTACTCGTAGATCGGTAGCCAGTTAGTTGACATAAAAGGTTCGATCTACCACTACGTTACTTCGATTTTCACTGTATATTTTCGACCCATACTTTGGATCGTACTTCGAAAGATAAGACTTCTTCAATCCCCATCTCGCACAAATTTTGACTTGAGGATATTCGTTCGTAAAATACCAATTGCAGAGAAGAGAACTGTCAACCTTCAATATTCGCAAATTCCTTTGAACGCACTAGTTCTCTCATTAATCAATTATATTATAAATACTTCAAATATTTTTGACAGATGTCTCATCGTATCAGGAAGACAAACTCAAAGATTAAACTTTCTAGAGTCAGCTCCGCCTAGTGTCTAAATTGATAATTACAAAGTAATAGCGCATGGAACATGGAAGTTCAGTAATCATTTATATTTAGAATACATATTATGATGTCGCTTGTTCCTGATTATGAAAACTCTTCTGATTCTGATGAATTTTCGTCAGATGCAGATACAGAAAATGAGCATTCCAGGTAAAATCGTCATTGTCATTACAATCATTTTATATCAGCAAATTAGTAGAGCTGCAAATATTGTCAGCATAAATCGATAATCAACTCTTGATATTTTTGTAACCGTTTGTTTACTTTTCTACTCCAGATACATTTGTTGTCACAAATACATAGCTCTAGGATGAATTTTATACAATTTTGTAAAAAATGGGTCAGCTGTCATATGTTTCAGTGACGAAAAGGATGATACAAACTTCTCTTCCCAGTGCAAATTGCCTGCCCCTAAGTTTGGAGAAGAAACTGAGTCACCTGAAGATACAAAGTCATCCGTTTTCAAGAATCCATTTATCGAGGCAGAAAATGCCAAGGCCGCCATATTACAAAAACATGTGAAAATGGTCGAAACCAAAGATAATATTGTTGTGATCAATGGAAAGAAAATATGTTGGAATTATCGAAAAGGTAGATGCAGATTTGGGCATAACTGCAAATTTGCCCACGATTCCGATATTCAAAAGACTGCGGAGCAAATAGAGGTTGAAAAGCTAGCTGTTTTCCAGAATGCTGTGGTGTGTCAAAATAATCAAATTGGTTTGAGTGGATCAACTCTTCAAAAAACAGGAAGTGATGTGGAAACTGTAGAAGACTGCCCAAGCCAGAGTAATAAGAAACGGAAAAGGCCTGGTTTGACCCAGGGATTGATCCCTGGTAAAAAAGTATTGAAACAATACTTGAAAAATCAGAAAATTTAAATTGGTAATCTGTTATAAAAGTTTTGAATTTTCTTTATGAACTGTAAATGTCAAGAATGTGTTAATTTTATTGTATATGAACCAGTAAATTTATTAAATGTTCAGCATGTGATGTTTGCATGCTGTAATTGGATATGATTACAATATTTCAGATATTTATTCAGTTCCTTTATTTTTTAATAAACGAGTTTTTTTCAAATAGAATATTTTTATTACAAGTTGAAAATACTAACAATTCTAACTGTATTAAAGTTGAAATGAGAAAGAATGATGATTCATCTAAGTTAGTAAACAGTACTTATCCTATAAATCCCAAATGATTTATTTCAACTAGACAGTTATCAACTTCAGGCATTATCCTCCTAGATTTAGTAATAGTAATTTTACATTTATTGTCTTCTTTATTGAACTTTAGTCTTACATTTGGAATATTGTACCAATAACTTCCACAGGCTATTCGTTCTTTCATAGAATTTATATTTTTAAAATCTCCTTCATTCCATAGGGTTACCAAATTTGTAACAATAGCTATAATATTGAATTTCACAGTCAGGTATCTCAAAATGTTGACCATGTGGTTGAGGAAGCTATTACTCTCGGTATGATCAAATGACTGAAAATATAAAGGTGGCAATGAATCAATAACGATTATCTTGATGTTGCTGCCATTTTCAACTTCCTTTTTCAGTTCTGTTAAATGTTTCAGAAGTTCTTCTTTTGTTTTTGATCGCTTAATGAAAATATGGTTCATTACTTCAACCATAACTTCCTGTAATAAAATGAGTCAAAAATGGTGAATATTGAATGGTTACGAGTTACCTTATCAAGATGTTTGAGCATCTGCTTGAATTTCACAGCCTGAAAATCATGTTTCGTATCAAAGTAATGAATATTACCATCTCGAATACTTGAGGCCAAATTTTTCATGAGAGTCAAACAAAATAGTGACTTTCCAGATGAAGGTAAGCCACAAATTTCATAAATATTACCAGTAAATAAACCACCTTCCAATAATTGGTCCAAACTGAAAATTAAATATTTGGACATTAGATTTTGATTATTGCCAAAATTCACAATTGGTATATAATATGTTATATGAAAGATACACATTCTGCTATGCATTATGCCAGTAATGGAATTCCTTGAGCCATCTTTACAAACATATCAGAGGTAGTTATTTGTAGAGGTTAGTTATAATTAACTAAAACCAATAATTATTCATAGTAAATTACTTGAATGTGGTCCATTATAAACAAATAGAATAATCGACTGGATTTTTTGCACATGATTCATCAACAAAGGAAGTTGATTGTTCTTTGAAATCCCAAATTTGGGAGAACCACGGAGTAGGCGACATTTAGGTATTGTAAACTTGAACATTTGTTATATAGATGAAGAAAATGAACCACTTTTTCGACTATCCCACATTTTTTTAAATTTTGAAATACAAAAATATTTGTGCCAAAGCTATTTTCCAGGTTTATTGGTTGTGGCCTTCAGGTTTTTATATCTGACGTTTCGTCTATGACTACTACAGTGAGAACAGTATCTACTAGACAACTAGAGCACTTCGTTTGTTGCTTCATCGTCTTTAATAATATCTACCATGGTCGCAGTCCACGAAAATAAATCCGATAAATAGCTTTGATACAGATATCTCACCCGTAGACTGAGTAATCTGAGGAGTCTATGATTTAATCATATTTTATTTTTATTAGGGTTTTTCTTATATCGTAAAGTGTTTGGCTAAACCATGTCACAGGTGGTTTATTGAAGATTCTGTGCATTTTGTTAGGAAATATTTCTTATATCTTTGGCTGAAAGGCTTACTGTCCTAACTGAAGCCAGTAGACACCTAAGAACCCAACAGTTTCACAAGTAGACAACCAGGGAGCAAAAAAATCTTGCTCAAAAAGAATCATACCCTGGTCAAACCAAACACATAAATGTGCGTCATTTCCTGTATGAACGAATCTGCTCTGGAAATATCTACATGGTTCATATGTACATGAAAGAAATGGCTTTAGATTTTCACACTTTGGAAAGTGAAGTTTCAGTGTATCACCAAACAAGGACTTGTTTCAAAAAGCGTGTTGAGAATATTTAGAACATGTTACTTGAAAATGTTACGTCAGTAGTAGTTTGATTACTGAATTGAGTTGTTGAATTGTTATCAACGAATCCTAGATCCAGTATTTGTCATAATTACATGTCAATTAAAGTTTCCATATAAATATGTTACAAAGTAACAATTACAGAGTAACTTTTAACGATGGTCACTTTGGGCATGTAAGCTGGGGTCAAATTTATAAATGAACAGTTCGTCTTGAAATTTTCTTTAAAATCCTGATGAATAATAATTCACTTTGGATACGCCTTGGATAATGTTTGTTGAACAAATTTTATATAAGTTACAAGTCTACCTATTTATTAGTGAAATGTTCAACATACTCACTTAATTATTCCAGTCTGAATAATGGCACAGTGGGACAAAATATACTGGTAGGAGCTGAATGCATTCTCTGGACGTGCAGCATATTTTTTCAAAAGCTCTTTCCGAATATCCAGAATATCCTGAAAAGGTTATCAAGGCATCAAAAGATAAATAGATAAGTACTTTCTGATCATTCTCATATTGATTTCAATTTTAGAGCCACCGGTAGACAGCTGTTTCAGCCTATTGGGCATCGTGGTTTTTCACATTTTGTCTTCAATCGAGGACCGCCTGCCCGGTACTGACGATGCCCAATAGGCTGAAACAGCTGTCTACCGGTGGCTCTTAAATTGAAATCAATATGAGAATGATCAGAAAGTACTTATCTATTTATCTTTTGATATATATTTCAATATTAAATTTTACAAAAAGGATTTACAAAAGGAAATGCATCATCCAAAAATGAAATTACATGTGGGCTTCCCCAGGGATCAATCTCAAGTTCATTACTATTTATTATCTATGTTAGTCACATTACTCAATACATTAAAATGGAAAACCTCAGTCAATTCGTGAATATGATATCAAACACCTTCAAATGTGCTTAGGATAATTTCATGAATATAAAGTTGTGTTTTTATAATGATAAAACAGAAACATTAGTCTCTACTTTAATTACTACCTAATGCTGGCGTACAATTTACAGGTGAAATGTTTGAGGGTAACATTAGATTTCAAGCTGACATGGAGTGAATCTGCACATGTTGAAGAAGTTATCATTGAAAGGGCAATAAGGGTAACACCATTTTAAAAACTAGGTAAAAAAAAAACTATTAGTATTCTACTTCCAATGTGACTCTAACTCATCATCAATACTTACTGTTTCATTATTTTTCTTTCTCCTCATCACAAAAATATTGTTCTAATTCAAACTCACTTTGCCTTTTTCATTGCAATCCATCATCTTTTTGCTTACAAATGTAAGTTTGCATTCCTGATTTTTTATCGCTACTGATTTCATTGAAGTAGAGGTTATTGAAATTTTTGTAAGACTCAAATTCTCCGTTCCCAAACTCAACAAACCTTGGTCCACGATGATGTATGATTTCGAAAGTCAAGTCTGTTTTCAGTTTTTGAGAAAATATCAATTTTGATGGAGTTTCTTATGTGACTCAATGAAGAGTTTTATAATATGAAAATAAATAGTTACTAATTAAACTAAACTACAGCTTTACAGCATTGAACGCTATTTTCAGCTGCCCAATTTTTTGCAGGATGAAAGGATGTGATGTTGAAAAATACCATTCCTTTCACAAACATTTTTGAATTCTCTCAATAAAAAAGGCCCATTATGAAATTATTGTGTTTAATGAACTACATCTTGCAAAACATTGTCTTAGTTTTTTTTGAAAATTAAAAAAAAACCTTTTTGGCTTTCTATTTCTTCATTTTTATACAAAAAATGTGGAAAACAATATTTATTTTGAACATAATTGATTTGTTTTGTAAGTCTAATAAGAATTTGTCCCTTTTTGTGGCAAAATAATCATGTTTTGAAGAAAATGAGAGCATGTAAATGAAATTTTACCTGAATTTCATTAGTTCGGACTTCCATTGTCTGATATTTCATAAAATGATTTGAAATTCCTGAAGGAACCAAAAAGAAGAATTAAAAATAAATAACTGAAAATAACAATTACATTAAGCAAAAAAAACCTGAAAAGAAGTTACAGTGAAATAATATACAAGTACAAAAATGGAGCAATTGAACAAAAAATAAAAAACAGAAAATCAAGAGGTTCAAAGTCNTTCTATATTGTGTAACAATCCTGTGATTTTCCTATGAACTCAAATTTCATATGAGAGTAGTTGTTATGAAAGGACTTTTTCTTGCTAGTTTATATCTGAAAGAAACTTCGGTGTATGCTCTACATATCTGTATAAAGAGTTTTTATTGTACTTTAGGGGAGAACATTTTAGTTTGCCCTTTATTATTATTAAGTAGAATTTCTGTTTCTTCATCTTTTTTTTTTTCAAATTTTGAAAAGATATATACCAAGAAAGTAATTTGAAATGTTTATGCTTTCGGAAACATTATTGAAATCAAATTTCATCATTTAAAGACCTGTTTACCCTAAATGTTAAGTTGCATGTATTTTCTATCAATTTGGCATTGCAATTGAGAAAATCCAATATTGTCATTATCTGCTTCTTGTTCAAGGAGTTGACAACGGTAGAACTAAAGAGTAAATGAACATTCTCGGCCAATAAATCCATAATGTTTTACTTTATCCGAAAAACTCTCGCACATTCCTGTAAACACTTGGATTTTGCACAATCACAATCATACATAAGAATGTTTGTCACAGTCACAGATGCTGTGACAGTATTCCCCTACCACACGAACGAAATACTTACTGTCACAGTAGAAAGTTTCTTTAGCTTTCTACTGTGATACTGTGTCAGGGTTCGTATAGGTTAGGTTAGAGCCTAGTTTGTGACATCAATTTTCCTTTACGTCAGGATACCTGACGTGAAGGAAAATTGTTGATTTTTCTCCATTGACGTCACGTATTTGTTTGGGCGAGTTCTTAAATTCAACAGAAATTTATGAAACGCTTTGACGTTTTGAATTGACCTATAGATGAAACCATTGGTAGACTCATCGATTAATTCAAGAACATTTGCAAAGAAAGAGACATGCTCTTTAGATGGATAAGGAGAGACAAGAGTCAAGAGTTAGAAAAGAAGCACCGAGATATTGAAAATGAAGTGAAAATTCTGAAAATGAAACATGTATTGTAAAATGCTGAATAACCAATGGGCGAAGAAGATATATTGATAGCCAATCATTCCATAGCAATCAACAAAAGCAACGTTCAGTATAGCAGCATGACTTGAAGAAGTAAATACGACTTATTCTACAGAACAACAATTTTTTTCCGAATCCCGTCAAGATGACGTACAACTGCCAAACAATATTCAACGTGATTCAGAATCAGTGTCAATATTTTTCGGGTTTGAAGGCCAAGGTTTTTTGAATATCTTCCTGACGTTTCGCTGGCGCTAGTTGATAGCTTCTTCAGAGGTTTATACATACATTAATATCCGATCATCGGAATTTCTTCCTGTCGTTTCGCTGGCGAACGCAGTCACACTGATCGATGAAAACATTTTCAAGGAACTTGGTCTTTATGAAGATAAAGAAGCTCTCTGTATTCAATGGACAAATAAAATAAGTTCCTTTCTCGGCATACCAGAATCTCTGGTATATAAATATCTCTATAATAAATATAATGAATAATGTAAGAACATTTGAGAAACTATCACTTCTATCTCGAACTATGGAGATGGAACAGTGAAAGAAGTTTAGGCATCGATGATGGAACATCGATGATCCTCATCGGCCAGGATAATATCAACCTATTACTTCTCCTAGGTAAATATATATTTACCAGCATATGCTGTGTCGTTGAACTTTCTCCTTTAGCCACGAAATGTAAACTAAAATGGTCTCTGCATGGTTCAAATTGAGAAATAAATAAAGGTTTCAAAGCCCACACTTTCCATATCAGCAACAGCTACAAATCCGACGATTAACCTTCACGAACTTATTAGGAAATCATTTTCAACAGAATATTTTGGTGTACCTTGTAAACCAAGTGAAGAAGATTCAAAAGCTCTGAAAATCATGCAGAAAATAACCAAAAGAGTGAATAATCATTAAGAAATTGGAATCCCTAGAAAAAGTGGTACTATGAAACTGCCAGAGAGCAAGACTGTTGCGATTCATACATAAAACAAATAAATGATCTTATGCCTCCGGTTTCTGGGGGCGCCACAGTTACACCTTGGAGTACTTTCGAGCGCTACGGATAATGACAATACTGAAATGCAGAAAAGAAGGGGGCTGAGGCAATCGCCCTGAAACACACCCCTTCTGAAAGTTGCCCACTATGTTTGGACTGTAGCCTTATTAGATTTTATGGTGAAACGACTCTGCCTAGTGGTATAAGTGATTCAAGGTATCTCACAATGTTGTCTAGTACCGCAAGGAATTTGAGCAAATGCAAGATGAGCTCATGCGATGTTGTATTAAATGCCTTGCAGCAATCGATCCAGGCCATTGCTCTGTAATGAACGTTAAATGTTTGCTGTTTCTATGAATAATTTTCAAACAGGGGTATGAGCATCTTGATATTTTGATACAATTATTAAAAAAGATCAATTTATTTTCAATTACTTTCAACCTTTGCCCGTGACCTAGTTTCAACACGTTCATTTCAAACATCTGTAGGATTTTAAAAGTATCAAATAGGGAATAAATGGATATATGTCTATTGTACCAGTTCAAATTTAGCGCCATTTTTCTCCAATGACATCACCAACTTGGCCGCTACAATCGAAATTTCGGAATTCTCATATAAAAAATACTGTTGTTTTTACAAAAAACAATAATAACAAACCCTTTTTATATAATTTATTACTATCACTACTTCCTTCATAAAACTCGAGAACTTCGAGTTCAATGCCTTTCTAGGAATATACCATCGTTCAAATGTCCGCCACGGCTTCACTGGGTGGAGCGCATCCGAAACGTCCAATTTTTCATGACTCTAGCGCATAAATCAGGCCGAATTTGACCGATAGCATGGGATATGTTGGCTAGTAAATAACAATGGGACTTATGATGTACTGTGTTTTCCCAACACCAAATCGATATTTTTAACACCTCGACACGTGTTTCGATCACCAAGTGATCATCTTCAAGAGGAGGTGTTGAAAATAACGATTTGGTGTTGGGAAAAACTCCAACAATTGGACAATAAAAAAAAGTAAGAAATAATTTAATGACCCTCATGCATAATAATTCGTCTAGATTCATATAAAAATAATAACATAGCTTGTAAGGAGTAGTATTAGTCATCATCTGATGATGTTAGCGAAACGTGCATTTTTGCATTTTTGTTCTGGTGAGGGGGAAGTATTTTCAATGGACTCATTACACGCCGTAGGTTCAAAATTTTGCTTATTATGCAGTGTGATGTTAGCAATTTTCATTTGTTGTGTTCATGTTTTATATTTCTAAGTATCTTCTGTAATTTTACTTTGTAGACTTTGTCAATAAGAAAATATACTTAAAAGTAAATAAAAACTCATTCGACAGAGTGTCGGGGCCTTCTATATCGGGAGGGGTCGTCTACAGCGTAATCTATAGCTTCCTTGACTAAACCTTGACTGTACTGTACCGTCTGCCGACATAACCTATAACTTATGTTTATGATACCGTCACACGAACATTGGCGGTATCTACCGTTATTTTTAAAAAGCGACCCTCGTAACTGAAATCGAGTAAGCTATATTGATCGACACATTTGTATGAAAATTATATATGAATGAGTCGATACACATTCAAGTAGAACATTTTTTTGATATTTGGAGAAATAATCCAACTTAATTTTTTTAAGAAATAAAAATTATACATAATACAAATAAAGGCGCTATTCTACATTTCTGGTTATTTTTCATCCCAATCGAAGTAGAAATTGATGTTGGTCACATTTCAAATGAAGCTATCGACAAAATAATTCTGTATGATGGCTTTTGGCTTTACTGACGAGAATACACCTTCAGTGGGGCAGTATGTTACCCTTTTTATGGAGTCACTCTTATATTTTGGGTTGAAAACGATTTCAACTTTTGGGAAGTCACAGTAGCTTTTCGCAGTATGTTATTCACTATGAAAAAGCTACTGTGATAGGGAAAACGTGATATTTTTGAAAATAAAGTTTGTGAAGATCAAATCGTAAGGTGTATAGTTTATGAAAATAAATATTGTATTCACATTTGCGAACTGTTTACGGCAGAGGGTAATTGGGAACATTTTCTGCAAAAATTGTTTCAGGGGTACAAAATAGATTCAATATTCAGGTTCAGCATTCACAAATCTTTGTATAAAATATGTTTAAGTTTCGAAAATTAATTGTGTAAGGAAGAGTTGAGTCTTATATATAATAAGTCTCGTAACTCCTAAACTGAATATACTTATTTTTTGATAAAGTTGAATCTTTATTTCATTTCTCAATGGCTTATGTTGCCCTTTCATAGAGTTTTCAATGATGAAATTTATAATATTGAGATACTTATGAGATTCTAATCAATTTTGATATTATTAAAAATTCAATGGAAGTGCCAAGTGCGCTACCTACTGTAGAAACAAAATGTATATTTTTTTCAAGATCAAATGAAAAAGGCAATTCAAAAACAAATAGGTATATGAAGAACCTATTCTATGAACTTGTTTAGAAATTTATATATCTTTTCAAATATTTCAAATCCTTGATAACTTACGACTACCTACCATCAGTTAGAAATTCATCTGTATCATCAATACTAGGGTGAGCAAAACATATTGTGACCGTGCAGATACGTTTTATGTCCACAAATATGCACTAACTCATAGTATCACTGGTAACCTCTACTTTCTAGGGCACCACTAGTCAAAATTTCTATGTACCAATATAGGTATATGGAAAGTTGGGCTTACTTCTCATACATTAAAATACCTGAAAAAATTATTGATGTAATTGCATGAAACAATTTGAAGTTTCACATGGCATGTGTGGGAGTGTAGAGGCATTCTGTACTAACACAAATATTTAAAATATTTTTTCGTTTATTTTCTTAAATGATGAAAAATACAAACGGCTTTTCTATTGCACATCCATGAAGTAAAGAAGATAAAATAATTTTTGTATGGGATTCATTTATTCATTTTCTCTAGATGACATTTTTTCACAATGTAATTGAAAGAGAGAATATAATAAACTGATAAGAGGCTTAATGGACCTAGTAGCACAGCTTGTACGATAACATCTAAGAATGATGTGAATGGACTCATACCAACGCAGAGTGTTGTTAAAATATACGATTCAAATCCCGAATAGCTGAAGAATCGATGAGCCTGTAACAAAAATAATGAATATGATTTCATAATTTTTTTAAATTAAAATGTTGGAAATTTACTTATTCTATTCAAAAACTAAAAGTAGATAATTATAAAATCAAATTGTTCAGAGAAGTTAATACTAAGAAATAATAAGATATTTTTAAAAGTACAAATGTACCTGGAATGGAAAAGAATGGGTGTGAAAGAAAATATGTAACTATAAATGAAATGCTTGTACGAAATGAAAAATAATGAAAAAAATTCAAACCAAATTATTCATGACTGTATCTATTAAACTGATTTAGAATGAGTTTACCTCACATCAACTCAAGAAGATGCAGTGGCAATGGGATCATCATCATCAACAATTCCATCTAGATGAGATATGTCAGTGATACAGACTTTGCCGATATAGAACTGGACAATAATTGACTACACCTCGACATCAAAAAACAAGCACTTCTCCCAATCACCAGAACTTCGATACTCTTCTCGACACGCGTATAACAAACCAAGTTGGTCTGTTCATCTCCTGAAGGTGCCAACTTGGTTGATGAAACGCGCATCCAGAAGAGTATTCAAGTGCTGGTAATTGGGAAAAGTGTTTGTTGTTGGATGTATTCTACTTCAGAGGTTCCAGTTTAGCCTTTCATTACAGACCTTAACAGTTTCGACCGATTAACAAAAATCACGAAGATCCAACCAAGAAATGCGTTCACAGATGTTACAAATCCTAAATAGCTGAAACTAAGAAGTTATCAAATTTTCAGATCTGCGAGCACAGGAAGAACACTAAATGTAAAAAAACCAGCAGTAGCAGAGCACCTCTGGATCCACCAATGAATGGTTTAAGGGGAAGGTCAAAAAAGTCGCATATATACTAAATAATATATGAGGTCAACCCAGAATAGAGGTTAGAAACTTATGGAAACCTCATCTCTTAAGAAAGTGGACTGCAATTTACTGACCAAATTAGTTAAGGATCAATATAAAATGGATGGAAAGAAGTTCATTTGAATTTCACTGATTGATGATTTTTTCCTGTGATTACTTCAAGCTGAATTTATATGGCAAATGTTCTGACTCAACAGCTTCCAAAAGCACATGTCTTAGGGTGAATTTATGCACACTCCAAATGCTAGCAGGTATGCATTATCAATGAAAAAATTCTAAAGTTGTAAGTATATAACATATTGAGCCTTCAGCTAAAAAAAATTGTAATATTGACTGTTGTATGTGTATATCTTAATCACATTCAAAAAATTTTCATCATCTGATATAATAAAAATGAACAATGACCTAGAAATCACAAAAATATTTTTCGATATAAATAAAATATAAGGACGGGTTATCCCCTATTTCTTCTATTCTGAAATGAGCCAATCAGTGATTATTTGGACTATTCATATGAACTAATGTGAAATTTAGAACAGTTACAGTGAGAAAGTTAAACGTTGGCAAACTTCCACTTGATACTTGTTAATTATCATTTTTTCAGCAAAAGCATGTTCATTAGAAATTGGTAAATTTAACTTATGATTCATAATTTTTGCTTACTTTATCTTTGATATTTGTGGATTGAGTCTTCTGTTTATCCCCTACTTACTTCTTAAATGTTTATTGTTACTTGGTAATCAAGCGAGCATTAAAAACACTAATTTTATTATGTTTGAGACAATGAGGTATAAGGTTGAGCCATCAGAGGCTCAACGTGTTGAAAAACTTGGGAACAAAATAAACCTTTCGTTACTGATACATACCAGTGCATCATCTATGAGGTTTCTAGCAACTTGTTCTGGTTTTGCAAGACCTGCAACTTCAGATATAAGTTTTGTTTCAATAGGTTTCGTTTGATTTTCTAATTCAAATCCCGGAGTATCTGTGTCGGGTGGTAAAGCTAGTGTGACAGAAATATTGTACGGTTTCACTTCCATCTGAAGAGATTCAGCCAAGCCTCTAAGAGCAAATTTGCAGCTGGAATAAACTGAGTAGCCATACATTCCCATCAATGCTACTTGGGATGCTGTGAGAACAACAATTCCTTCTTTTCTCTCTTTAAATTTTGGAATGATCGCTTTTACTGGATAAAGAGTTCCCAAAAAGTTTACATCTATCAATTGTTTTATTTGCTGCTCGTCAAAATCTTCTAATTTGCCACATATGGCTATCCCAGCACAATTAACCAACATAAAGATAGGCCCAACGGTTTCTTCCAGTTCATGGAAAATGTGTTGGATGTCCCCATATTTTGAAACATCTACTGAAACTTTGGTAATTTTCTGCTCTTCATTTATACAAAATGTTTTAATTTCTTTTTGGGCATCTTCTAATTTATCTGCATTTCTGGCAATAATGGTTACATGAGCTCCCCGTTTGGCTCCAAGAATTGCAACCCATTTTCCTATACCACTGGAACCACCAGTTACAACGATATGTCTTCCTTTCAGAGATGATTTATGTGGCGACTTGAAATATTTCAATACTAGGAACAATATAGTAATAACCAAAATAATAATAAAACCAATCATACTAAATTTTGAAAAAGTTTAATCACAAATCCACTGATGCAACGACCGAAGTAACCAGTAGTGTCGTTATATTAACACAAAATAGTAAACAATTGTGTGATATTAACTTCGTATATGGAATATATTAATATTATAGCCACAATTTAACTGAAACCAGTACTGTCACTCTTGTCGGAGCCTTTGCTGTTGGTGTCTCATAGTTTATTTTTTTTACGACTACTAAGCATCCAAATTATTATAATTATCGTCCACGAGTGGATTTGTCAGTATTTGACATTTCATACACTGCTCAACAAGTGATAACATAAATAAACTGCTCGACAGTACAACAAATTTCATTAAAAATTAAATGAGTGCTTTGTCACAGTATTTCTGTATATACAAAATACTGTGGCTTTGTAGTAATGTAGAATATTATGAAACGCTTTGAATTTCAAATTGTTTCACGTTCTCATTCGCTCTTTGTTTGTTTGGTTCAAATTATGCAGTCGATTTGAATATAAGTTATCGAGGAGCTAAACGAACTTGCAACTTTAATCATATAGCTCAGAACTGGATAAAATGCAATATTGTTGCATATTGTATAGATTATATAAAACGTATGAAATCGAACAAAGTTCGTCAAGCGTGTCGATAAGAGATTAAATAGGTTGTAAATGTGATATTTTGTACTTTTATTTTTAAATGTACTCAAGAGGTGTATTCGTAGCAGATACAAATTATATTTTCTCGTCCAGGCCTAATGAATAAATGAATGAATAATTCAATTAATTGTTTTGTTCTTTTAGTAACACATTTTGAAAATGTCAATGTAGTTATCCAAACAAAAATGTGCCAACACTTATTTCCAACAATAATCAGATTATCAGAAGATTTCATCAGTTTATTTTTTTGATATGTAGTCATTGAATTATTTTTTAAACGCAATCAAAGATTTATTGAAAAACAATGTATTGAATATTCTTGCATTAAATACTATAAAAGATAAAATAATTACTCATAGTGTCGTATACAGTCTTAAATCGATTCAGATAATAAGTAATTGTAATAGCTTTGAAAATACTCGTAATATTTAGACAACGTGTGCTACTTGCAGTAAGGAGTGTAACGAGAGCTATCGACTGGAACACTAACAACAACTGTTTTAGTGCCGTATTCGATTCGAGTTTGCTATTTCAATGATTTTCGAACCATCAAATGTGATCGCACAGTTGAGTCTTGAAAAGTTTCACTTGGGTCTACTCTCAATCATCAGCTGAGTAAGAATTTTGAACCGTCCTAGGTTCGTAGGAATACGAACCCGAACACGCTTTATGTGTTTATGCCACAGAACAAATCATTCTGTGTCTATACTAAAACCAATAATGATTGAGAGTAGAAGTAAGCCCAGTTGACAGCAAATCGGGGGCGTGCTTATTAATTTTTGAGAGGGTTAAGAATGAAAGAAAAATTCTTAGTACAATTAGTTAAAATATTCATACACATTTTTTATTTATTCCATTAAAACTTTGCAATATCGTAATTTACCTAATCGTTGTAGTCATTAGGTATAAATAATACCTTTTAATCGTACTAGTATTGTGTTTTATCTATAATTTGCCACAACCTACAACTCTACTGCTTACTATATTTTGATTCTGCTATAAACTGGTAACGTAAAATTTAGATATGACAACGCGCTTTACTCTCAATCGTTATTGGTTTTACAATATAGGTTACAGAATACTGTTTGGTTTGACAAATGGTTCTTTTACATACGAATCCTCATCACAGATTATAGCAAATAGCGTTTTCCATTATATAGGAAAAATATGTGCCAGGTGTGTGTAAACCTTATGTTTCATTGGTTCAACGAGTGTTAGTTCCATTGGAAAACCAGGTTAATGTCGATATGATTCTGAAAACTGAGAAAACCTTATTATTCATGACCTGATTGGAAAAATCGTATACTAAATGCTTATCACAATAAAAATCCCACCCATATCGGTTGATACCTACCATTTTTGAGATTGGTGGGCACAAACATACAAAAATTCTGAAAATCATTGTTTTATGGCATTAATATATGAAACATCCAATAAAATTTTTTCTCAATATCTCCCGTACCCAAATCGGTTAGGCCCTTTTTGAGATTAACTCGCGCACAAACAGACAAAAATTTTGAAAAACATTGTTCTATTGTGTTAATAAAAGCCCAAAATAGTGTTTTCTCTCAAATATCTTTCATGTGCAGAGAGCGACCACTTTTATATATGTATATTGTACATATGGAATAACTAGTAAAATTTAATAAAATGGATTTTTGGCAATCCTGTTTCCAAAAATGTTTCCATAGAGGTCTGAAGGTCGGAGCGAAGAGTGTTCTAGAATGGATGAAGGTAAAAAGTTAATTTCAGCAACTTCAATTTTGTTATTTAAAAGGTCTTTTCCAAACTCGTCGATTATTCAGTTTAGTCCAAAGCGATACTATGCATAAAAGTATCACAAGTTGTTATTTGTATTATATTGAATTAGGTTTTTAATCATTAAGTTTATTACTTACTTTATAAAAAACTAGTAATAGGCTAATTCCATTTGAAAATAATCGAACTATTATTCTTCTTCTTCTAATCATATGGGTCGTTTTCTGGCGCTCAAGTGAACTGGCGCAGTGGAAGCGCGCCCGACTAACGATTGGAAGGTTGTGAGTTCGATCCCAACCTCGACCAGATATTTTTCCCGAGAGAATTTATCTAGTTGAAGCTGGGATGATGCTGTAACGTTTCATGGCTGACGGACTGCGAATAGCCATGATGCTCTCTGGGTGGCTGGGGGAGTTACTAACATTGCATACCCAGAACACGAGGCTAATGACCAATGCAGTCGATGCAGATGACACCCAATAACAAACAAAAACAAGTATTCAAAACGTATTCGTCTCTGTGATTCAAATACCTTATTTTGACGTTGAAACGATGACGTCACAACAACTATGATTTGAAACGTATTCGTGATAATTCAAAATTAGCATGAGGTTTGTTTTGAAACGCAATTTAACGTTATGTAACGTCAGTTGTCAGTTTCTGCTTTATTTTGATCGTTATAGTTTATAGAGTGCCGAAAACTTTTTATCAAATACGTTGTTAAGATGCACGAAATAAAGCTAGAAAATTATTACTTACACAATTCCGATTTTAATGGAGGTTAGAGAAAATTGAAAAGTGTTTTTATTATTGGATTTGACATGTGACACAAATTGAATCATTCCATTATGGCGAATCTTATCATTAATGACATCACAACGAATCGTTTTTGAATACACGCTCGAATACGAATAAACACCAGAAAACACCTATGGTATTTGCTTCATTATTCAGGCTTATTTGACCATGATTTGACATTGTTTGCATCGCAGAACTTATACTTATAACTATTCACTTTTGCTTGAACCTGAATCACAACTGTTTTGGACTATTGGCTATTTCCGACAAAAATCATTCTATGCTCGATGTTATTTGATCGAGCAGGACAGCGAATAACTTTCGGCGGGAATGACACAATCTGGAAAAAAATCAATGCCAACAAAATATACCTAATACCAAAGCCAAATGACAAAAAAACTAACAATAAATTCACAAACTCAAAATAAACTCAATTTATAAAAATAGATTAAAGTAAAAATCACAGCTCAATCTAATGAGGACAAGTTAAGTTATAAGTGCATTGCAACATAATGTGAACAAAAATATTGTTGTTTTATTGTGCAATTTACTATGTGTCTTGAAAAATTAAATTTACGTTTTCTCAAAATGAAGCGTCTTGGACACTCATCTTTTTTCTCCTGAACTCTTCAATTCGAATGATACTTCATTATTCAAACAATGATTCGATTATCAAAATAATTCGATTATGCCCATCACCAAAAAAAACATTGAAAAGATTGGGTCCTTCAGAAAAAATATTGAGAAAATAATATTCGTGAAGGTGTTTCGGAATTATTGGAATATAAATGATTATAATAAAAAAGGTATTCGTTTAATGAAAAAATGTAATAGGTTGAAAGCGTTAAGTTCAAAACTGTAGTGTAAAAAATATAAGTATAGAGGTCTACTCTCTAATATTGAGAACAATCGTTCAAATATGTTAGGTCAAATAGAATAGAATGTGATATTGTTTAGCCATTTCGACAAGCATGTCACAATAAACAACATATGAGTTCAGCACCGAAAAAGAAAATATTCCTGGGAAATTTTATTGAGTACCTAATATCTCGCATTTGTGGTTCAATAAATAAAAAGGCTTCAAAATCTATATCTAATATTTTTGGACATTAAAAATTTCACCTTTGATACTTTGGACTCTTGGAAAAAAAGTTTCATAATTTTATATCATTTATTGAAAAATGTATTTACTTTACCATTTTAATGAAAAACGTGTTTGAGTGAATAATGCGTTCATACTAAAGTAGTTTAAAATATTTTTGGAATACATTTGAATTATTTTTCTTGTGATTTTCTGAGTTTTATTTTCTTTATTTCAACTTCAACTTTACCGCCAATTTGACTGAACCTTTCCTCAGAAGGTTTTGAGTTTTGAATTCATACGTCATGAAAGTTTAAAAGTTTTTTGGACACTGTGTTGTACATTCTGTGCTGAAAATTCCATTAATGGAAATGAATCATCATCATATGTTGTAAAAATCATTATCATTGTAAACTATGTTACATATGAGGAGTTGGAAATTGAAATTTTGATGGTGCAAAGAGATATTTGAAAATAATTTATAGATTAGAACGAATTGGCATAAGAATCTTGGTGATGGTTGTATTAAATCTGAAGTTTGAGTTAGCTTTAGCTTTATGAATTTGTTTGAATGGAATAACCATTAAAATAATTATAGAGATGGTAATTTGATCGCTCATTTTTTTCAGATTTTCCAGAGATGAGTGACGAAACACCGGGGGCAGGGCAGGGTGCTCTGCCTCCGAGAGAAGGCCAAAGCCTTCGACCCTTGGTAGAGCGCCCTGCTGCGACTGGTCCCACTATGAGATTGACACAAGTTGTGGGAGGACAGTATGTCTTAACCACTCAACCTCATGGAATACCATCATTAGCACAGGTAAATAATAATATTTTTATTTTGTCATAAAATTTTATAATAGATAATGACAATATCATTATTTATAAGAGCCTCACAGAAGGCACATATACACACTTAAATAACAATATGAACAAATAAATATATCAATTATTGAAAGTTAACAATGGAAAATTGAGGGTTCTGATAAAGTATTCATCAAGAGAGTAAAAACAATGATCATTTAGGAAATATTTAAGCTTATTTTTGTAGTTCAGTAAATTGGTTTTTATTACATTCTATTTGGAATTGTGTTGAATACTTTTATTGATCTATATTCAGCACCCCTTTCATATTGAGTTGTTCTAGGCCCAGGTGTTTGAAAATAATGCATTGGCTTCTCATTATTTCTATATCTGCATATAGTCGTTGAAAAAAGGTCCAAGTTGACATCTCGTTTTCGAAAACTTTTAGACCTATAGTAATTATCCCAACCTTGACAAAAATCATAGACAAATTTGTTGAAATAAGATTGAACACTTTCTTATATGCACGTTATATTGATTGATTGATTGATAGCACTTTATTTCCAACAGGCATTCACCCAATAACAGGAAATGTACAAAGGTGTTGATGAAAATATATGCAAAACAGTATAATTAGTTAAAAAAA